GGTCCCTAGATCTGGTCAAAAAGCACAGATAGTTCACAGAACTGAAAGTTCTGATTTGTATTATCCAGATCCTACTTTAAAGTTGTTTTTTGCATATTTCTTAAAGCAGCCTTAGGCCTCCAAGTACCATATGGAACAAAAAAGGTTGTACTACCATTAATTTCAAGTTTTCAGGTACCTGCAAAGCATTTTACTAAAGGTCTAGCAAAACTATAAAACTGGCCATTAATCATAATTATAATATTCTCAAGAATTTCCATTAGACATTTTCTAGCACACAAAAATGCCTGTACTAAAAAAGACGTTTCCTGCTGGCCTAGAGAACATTTCTTTTTGTGTTGCTTTGTCATGTATAAAGTAATGCTTGACTTGTAAAATAGTTATGTGCCAATGTTCACCCTAGCCTTTCTAAAAGTGTCATACATATTTAAACTCTCCCTAGTGCAAACACTGGGACTGTATCATATCTCAAACTAACAGAATTTTGTAGTACTGGAATGTAGTGTTTCTCAAAGCTAACTCATTCCTAGGTTTGTTTTCATGGAAAATGAATTTTGGAACAAGGAATTACAAATTTTCTAAGAGCATTGAAGGTTACATACTGAATAAAGAAGAAAGTTCTCTTTTGCTTCAGACCAGGCTTAATATGACCTCCTTCACTGACTAAGTTCTCGTACCAATTTTTTCTGTAGTTTCTTCCTATCACATATTGAATTTTTTAGTACTGGCACAGTGTGGCACAACTCATACTTTCTAATTCATTCAACTCCTAAGAACAGCTATATAATATTCAGAGAAAAAATAAACTGTCTGTTCATTCAAGCTATTAACAGACATCAGCTAAGAGGTTCTTGAGAGAACCCAAGGTGTCCACAAAATCAAAACCCCCAAGGAAATAAATTTAGTGACTCCCAAAAAGATAACTATTCTTGTCTGCCATTTTTGCACATGAAATGTAGGTAGTCCAAGTCACAAGGACATTCAGAAAAAAATGTATAGTACTTTTGTTTTCATCTCTATCAGTTTAAAAAGTTTATGCCTGAAGCAAAAAAAAAAAAAAAATTGTCCAAGGGGAAATTGGAAAATCACTGCTAGAATTCTGAAAAATCTAGATTTCTGAATCAGAGGAATTCCATAGCAGAAGGATAAAGATATACATGAGAAAAAAATCCACATGGTGAAAAAAATTAAAAAAACATAAATGAAAAATGTAAAAACCAAAGTAGTGTGTGAGATTATTTCCATCAAAACATTGATTCAAGCAACACCTTTAGATGACTCTGTTTCATTACAAAATAGTTACAGATACTGTTCCAGTTTCTCTATTCAGTAAACAACTTAGATATTCAAATGCAGCTTTGGCTTGAATTTAGTGAACAACACATCTAAATTTTGCATGAACAGCTAAGTTCTTTTCTGTTTCCATTTTTCAGTCTCTGTTTTGGAAGACCTTATTGTTCTGCATTTCATGACATATATTCTGAAGAAAGTAAGAAACTAATTAATAGGAATAATAATTTTCACTGATTAGTCACAAACAAAATTGAATTATCATGCTATAAGGATGCAATTTTATATAATAATAGCAAGGGATTATATCATCCAAAGGAAAGGAATGAAATTTCATTTGTGTTCTTTTCCCTTTTTGACTTGTCACTGCAAGAATGAGCATCTATATTTCCATTGCAGCAGACAAAATTGAAGTCATACATGATGAAATGGAATAGAAAAAAATTTCGAAGAGACTGTCATCTTTTTCTTGTTAATTTTAGAAATATTGAATCTTATGACTTTTCAAAAGAGTACTTTACAGGCATATAAAATTCTGATGATTGGTAAAACAGTTTTTCTCAGGTAACTATAGTTACAACTTAAACCCTTAAATTTCTAATGATGCCTATACATTCTTTCCTTTCTTCTTGAGCATTATCCAAATTATATTAACTGGGGTAAAAGGTATTAAGGGCAGTTTATGCGGCATACAGTAAGGAGAGAATCATGGAAGAACTGGTGCTTATCTGTAGCTTGAGACCAAAGCGGTTTATTTTATTCAGATATCTTGGATATATCTATATCTTTTGAATGGGATTTTTTTGTAACTGTATATCAAACTCAATTCTCTCACTAGAAGTAATGTACTAATTTATAAGTTTCAGTTGAAATTCTTTGCACTGTATTCATATGTATAATGGTCACTCTCTAATGATTTATTGGCCTGATTTAAAGCTCTAGGGCCCCCCAACTGAAAAAGGATGTGGACCTGTTGGACTGAGTCCAGCGGAGGGCCATGAAGATGATCAGAGGTCTGGAGCCCCTCTCCTATGAACACAGGCTGAGAGTATCGGGATTGCTCAGCCTGGAGAAGAGGAGGCTCCTGAGAGACCTTAGAGCAACTTCCAGTACCTAAAGGAGGCCGACAAGAGAGTTGGAGAGGGACTTTTCACAAGGGCATGTAGTGACAGGACAAGGGGGACTCCTTCAGACTGAAAGAGGGTAAGTTTAAATTAGAAATAAATTCATCATTACGAGGGTGGTGAGGCACAGAAACAGGTTTCCCAGAAAAGCTGTGGGTGCCCCAGCCCTGGAAATGTTTCAGATGAGACTGGACTGGGCTTTTAGCAACCTGGTGTAGTGGAGGGTGTTCCTGTCCATGGCAGGGGGGTTGGAACTAGATGATCTTCATGGTTCCTTCCAACCTGAACAATTATATGATTCTACAATTCTATGAAGTAACAATCCAGATAGACATCTGTTCCCTTCATCATAGGCTAGGGATATCCATACAGAATAACTGAGGCAAGATACCTATTTGTCATTCAGTTAAGCTTTCTTAATAGATATCTGTCAACTTGTATTTCTTATAATTAAATTCCATAGCCTAATATTCATGATCCATCTGTGTCTTGCTGTATGACCATCACGAATCTTATTTTCCATGCTTCAAATCTGACGCAAATGCTTTTAATGAAAAGAAAGGAGTTTCAAACATCTGCCTCAGGCATTATGTTGTCAGAGATACTTTGCAAAACAAAATGCATGGATTTCAACCTTCATTTTAATACACATGGGAATAAAACGGACTCATTTATTTACCATTTACCTTTCTGTGCTTTCTTTGTTTCTCATCAAGTTAGAGATGTTTCTATTTCTGGAGACTAAATACATTTATCTTTACAGCAGTGACAGTGAAAAAAACAGGTTTTTATGCAGATTGTGTAAGCTTTTCTGCACTTTGCAAGTAAGAAATCTTGGGTAAAGAATGCATGCCTTCAAATAGAAATCCATTTTGGAAATATTGACCATAAATTGTCATGTATCACTAGCACTTTAATTTAGCACTTCTGAATTTCGAAGTAATGGGATTCAAACTAAATAAATTTTTAGAAAAGGAAAAGAGAAGAGAAAGAAGAGATTAAAGTGTTATATATATTTTATTAGGAGAGTATAAATATTAAACAAAGCTTTTCAATGTTGAAAATCCTAATTTTAATGAGGTGTTTTTTTTTTACAGGGTAGTCATTGCCTGGTAAAGTTTGGTCTTTTCAATAATACAAGGTTTTTGGTATGTGTTTTTGTTAATTTGTTGGTTTTTGGTTTTGGTTTTTGCGGGATTTTGTTGGTTTTGTTGTTTGTTTTGGTTTTGTTTTGGTTTGGTTTTTTTTGTCTTGTTTTTTTTGTTTGTTTTTTTTTCTTTCCTGCACTGCAGATATAGTGTTATTAATTCAGTATGTTTCATCCCCAGTTAGTTTATCTGGCCTCTTCCCTCAAAAGAGTCTGCTGACATTTTTGCTGATTAATCATTCAAGTTATGTGCTTTGTATCTTGTCAAATTTTCTGAGAGAATGAAGCTCAGTTCCATACACTGGAGCACTGCCTTCCCTCTGCACATAGCTCTGAACTCAGAGCATGTCTGTGTCATCACAGCTGGTTTTGAATAATCCTTTTTATGTACCCTGGAATTGCTGTGGAAAGTTTTAGGCACTACCCTTCAAGAAAGGTGTAGATCAACTGGAGATTTTCCATAGGAAAATAATGAAAAGCCGTGTTCTAAAAAGTATGAAGGAAGAGCGAGAATGAATCACAGCAAGACAGATCTGTACAGAAGTGACTAAATGTATTGGATTCAGGAGTCGTGATGTTGTCAGGGGTGGGGCAGGAGCTCCAGGGGTGGCCTTTTTGAGGTCGGTTCCAAAGGACCCACCACAGGACACAGCTGAGCCCATCAGACATGATGGTGGCACATCTGGGAAACTGTGTTTAGGAAAGGGTAAAATTCTGCACAGGCAGAGAAAGAAGGAAAAAAAAAGTCAGAGTGGCAGAGGGAACACCAATGTCATGGGAGAAGGAGATGTTCCAGATACCAGAGCTGGTGTTCTGCTGCTGCCCACTCTCAAAAAATTTACATGTAGTATTACAGTAATTATTAAATTTGAGATTACATCCTAGTCAGTATTTCAAGTCACATTGAAGTCAAGATCACTTAATTATTGCTTTGATGCAGGACAAAGACAGGTAGTGGAAGCCCAACGCAAATGAGAGGCCATGTCATGTGGTAGAGGAGTCTGCACTACATTAGCTAATTCTGAGAGAAGGCAAAAATGTAGACTGAAAGATTCTTACTCACTTTCATTATCTACGCTAATGATATTTTAAGAAATAATTTTTGCTTTTATTACTTTAGAAGTGATATTAAACAAAATTACAATTGGCCATTGTAACTGTGAAAATGAAGAAGGGCACATTATTCATAATAAGAAAATATACAGGAAATTGAATTGTCTAACAATTTTAATTGAGATTTTTGGAAGAAGATAAACAAGGATTTTTTAATTAAACAAATTTATAGGCCTCTTCTATTTTATCACATGCTCAGTAATGATACATTCCTGAATGGCCACTTCATGGCATATATATACATAAAATCAAAACCAACATCACCAGCAAAGACTTTCCTGGGAAAGATCAAGGGAAATATTATTGAGAAATACATGCCCACTTACATTTGCAAACAGGCGGCCTCCCTTTGTTGCTCCATAATCCATCTTCTTGACACACTGCTGTTGCTTGTTGAGTAGATTCTAGCTTGAAGCCCTCATTACATTCATATATCAATCTACTGCCCAAAGTGAATTCATTACCTATAACTGAACCATTCCCAGGGGAGTCAGGAATACCACAAGACACAGCTGAAAAACAAAAAAAAGGAAAGAAAAAGATAAAGAATGGGAAATTTATCATATATATTTTTAAAATATCATCCCACAACTGAAATAAGAAACATGGGTTAGTAATTTTGGCATATCCCATTCATAACAACTGAAATTAATTTTCCATGATATTTACAACTCTCCAGTAAATGGAATAGTATTTAAAACACGGATAAAAATTTAGAAGTGCATCTAATATAGATAAAAAAATGAAAAATAATTATTTAGCTTAAGCAAATCACTGTAGAGAGAGAATTTTCAACAGAGACTAAGGGCAATTCGCTTGGGAAAAAATCGAGGATGTGTCTAAAGTAATTTGGTCCAAGAAGCAATGAACTGGACAATTCTTAAATGCTTTCTAATAGTCTGCTTCCATTCTCTCAGAGTTTCTTTCAGTCCTGCACTACTATAAACAAAACTTCATATTTGTTTGTTCCATATATATATTAAACAATGTTATTTAAGAATTCAATTTAATTTTTTTTTGTCTAATGAGAAAAGAACCTGAATAAATGACTAGACAAGAAAGAGTTCCACTTATGGGCATTATTCAGATGTTTCAACAGTTATTTACATACTTGACTAATCCAGTTCAGTATGCCAAATATTATGTGAATCCAAGCTTACTAATTTTTCACATCATGAAGGAAATTACTTACTGAATAATTTTCACTCTTTTTTTTGCACCTTCTGAATTTAACTGTAGATGTTCTTTCACGCTCACAAAATTTAATTTGCTATCAACTTAGTGAAGTTTGAGTAGCACCTAGTGTGGGGTTTGGGGCTTATTTATTATTTATTTATTTATTTAACCAGAGTTCATTTAATAGCATCTCATAATATAAATTTTAGGGCAGAGTATAATTATAAAATTATCTATTTCAATCGCTTTTAGGAAAGGTCTCCAAGTCAAGATTGTCTTCTGCCATCTGACGTCTCAGGTCCCTTGCTTTTGGTAATGAAAAAAAGCAACTCTTTAGTACAAATATTTTTTTAAAATTTATTTTAATGCTATGCTTTATTTGAAAGCAGTTATTTATGTACAGATACTTTAGGTCCAGGTCCTTGAATAAGACACTAAAGCTGGTAAAAATTTCATGTTTGCCCTGTGGATCTTCTGAAGGGAAAGTCATGATATTGTCTTTGCTTAAGGGATGTTACTTGCTGCAAAATAGCAACTTGGAGCACAGTATCCATAAAATTATTACAATCAATCTGTTTAATGAGTTCATATAAACCAATATGTGTATGTGTGCCCAGAATCACTAGCTGATCTGTGATTGGCATCCAGTTTGCTGTTCTTCAGTAAATACACGGAACAAAATACAGCTTTAAAGCTTTCATTTCTAAGTATTTATGAATAAGAAGAATTTTACAAATGAAAATGTCTTTCCCTTATATACAATCAATTGTAAGAAGCAAATTAATAATTTAGTATTTTAATAAGTATATTTTAAAAGGAGAAAGCGCAGCCTTTGTCTGAAATATGTTAAACAGAGATGAAGATAAGTTTTTTGTCTTAAATCTAGTTTTTATCACCATTTATCCAATTCAATATAAATTATTAATTTCACAACATATCATCATGTTATCATAAACACTACTCACAAATTTGCTTGCAGTGTTCCCAAGTTTTCACATTTTTTGCATTTAAATTAAATACAACAAAGTATTTTTCATCTGATTATAATGAGAAGAAGTAACCATTATAAAATGATGAATTATTAGTTCATTTGAGTTATTCCTTCCATCTAGAATCTCTCAAATTGCTAAAAGAAGTAAAACTGGAGGAATGTTCTACAATAAGCTGCTTTCTTAGTAACATAACTCTTTAGAATTTTTTGCATCTTAACCAGCAACATTTTTATCAAAATTGAGTATATCTCCATCAATGGGTAGGGGCTGAGCCTTTTCCCACTGGAAGGAGTAGCAGTGGGACAGAGAAGGTAGAGACAGGTGATAAGGAAAGTGTTCTTGAGGCACTCACTTACCACTTTTAATCGTGTTAGAGAAAATGGAGAAGGGAAAGAATGAAAGCAAGTTCTGCAGCTTCTGGGAGAAGGCCTTTGTATCAGAAGTCTTTTCTCACTATGGTACCAGAGCAGGAGATATCTTTTCAGGGCTCTGGTGTACTCAAAACAGTCAGTATAGCTGCACCTGGCAAATTCTCTATCTATTGCCCTAAAAACCAGTTTAATCCTTTATATACAACTAGAACCCACTCTGACCTTGTCTCACATAAGCAGAATTTTTTACTTGCAAAAAGTTTGTTTGTCTTGCTGAATTGACAGAAAGTTAAATGGTCACTCTGTTTTAGTACATCATAAAAATGCAATTGCATTTTCCAAGTCACATGACTCAAGTCATAGTTACTGTGAAAGGCTTCAGTGTCCCCAGAGCTGTGCACTATGTCCCCTTGTCCTAACAAGCCTTACAATTATCTTCTGTCTTGTGGCAACGTATCTGAATGCTTGATGTACAAGGCGTTTAGGTTAAGATTTAGCTTCTTGTCAACATTTTCAGGTCTCCTTTCTCATATCAAAACAATAAACTCTGTGTTAAGTGTGCATACATTTATTTGTACATAAAAAAAATTCAAAACAATGAGTCTATCCACCCATCCATGTATGTGTTCATCAGTACACACAGGTGGACCTTAGTCTATTTCCCTCTAAACACTCCAAACATGAATTAACTTCAAATAGCTTAGCTGAACAAGAAGATTTTAATATGTCATTTGAAAACAGAAGAACCCCCTCAATTGAGGTCTGTTTAGCTCATTTTAGAAGTAAATGATTCTGTTAGCATTTGCTCTTCACCTTTGGCAATAACCCTTCTAGAGAGTCACTGAAAAGTTCAAGACCGAGTAGCTCTTACAGACAAGTTATTTTAAGGAATAAAAGATGTACAATGTCTGGTCACACCCAGATGGGCCTCTTAGTTATGTCAGGTCTGATGTGATGCCCAGTATTCTAAAGCATCTCAAAATCTATACTTACCTGTCACAGTTCAGCACTTTCTCCTCAGTGTGTACCTCAGCCCTCTACTGTCTCTTTTATTTCCTCAGTTGCTGCTGAATCTTCTTCTGCTACATTGTCAGGCTGCTCTCACTGCTGCTTTAGCTACTATTCATAAAAGCAGTTTGGTACTGTTCCTGTCACAGTCTTATCTGTTTATTTGTTGTTTGTTTCTCTTCCTGAAACTGGGATTGAAAAAAAATATTCCTGCTGCTACTAATTTACTGAGGCTGCTAATGGCTTTTAGAACAGCAGTGTCCAAACAAAACCTATCAGCAAGGACAGTTTGACTAAACAGTAAGTACTCTGACACTTAAAGTAAAGTTAGCTGAAGTCAACTGACTGAAATGGCATGTTGTCTTTGGACCGTGGCAACAACGTCACTACTGTGTTACAACCAAGCTCTCAGCTGCTCATATGACTGTAAAACAATAAAAAATTGGTGTGAGAAAATATTCTGACTTGAGGAACTGTCAAACTACTTCTTAGGTCAATGATTAGATAAGACTGACAGGTTCCAGCTGGGAGATGTGCATTCAGAGTGTGAAAAATATAACTCAAACTTAATTGTATCTATCAATTTGCACAGCAGAAAAATTTGGTTCTTCCAATGCAAGCGGAAAAGCCTTTTATGACCTAGAAACTGAGATGCAGTTTTAATTGCTCTTTCATGTTCCACATGTCATACTTGCATTTATTCCTTATCAAAACCTGTAAATTTAAGGTTTGTGGCAAGTCTTTACCTTTAAAATATCTGTGTACCTGTATGCCTTTAAAGCAGACAAATTCATTGCAAACAGAAATGAAGCTGGAGATTGCATTACAGTCAGACATTGAGTTTATTTCCATGCACTAGAAAATCCCTAAAGTCAATCCACAAGCTTTTATCATTCAGTGATCTGTTTCTGGCATTGAACATAGTGCTGAGAAAAGCATTTAAATACACTAAAATTGAAGATAGAAACAGAGAAGTCCCTAAAAGTAGAATTTGAAACAAAAAACATACTGAGTGGCTTACGTATACAATATCCAATCAAAAACACTGGAGAGAGCCATGCCAATTCTTAGACTTGGATACACACAGAAATAACAAAGAAAGTGAGAACAGGGTTGTGGGTGTAAAAACCCCTGTTCTGAGTGGTTATCTACTCTATTCTCCTATCACAAGTCAAAATTATACTTGATCAATGTTCATCTAATTTGTTTTTGAAAGACCTCCAATAATGAAACTTCCACATTCTCCACGGGCAATCTATTTCAGTATTTCACTAGCTGCTCTGAGAAAAGAAGAAAAAAAAAAAAAAGGAAAAAAACCTTAAGATCCTGTTAAAGTAAGCTTAGCTGTAATTCCTTTATCTAGAAAAAACATAAATTAATTATTTAATTCCTCTTTTGAACTACTTTTAGCATATTAGAAGAATGTTATGAAGTTCCCCCTTAAACTTCTGGGCTTTTATAGTTCAGAGTAATATATTTATCTTGCTGCTTTTTATTTTGAAATACAATCATTGCTTTATAAGAGGAAACTGGGATTTGGCATCTTTAAGTTACGTTACTTACCTCACATTTTTATTTTAAGACTGTGTGCTAAGAGGGACATTTTTTGCATAATAACATTTACAAAAAGGGTAAAAGGCACGAGTTTAATTCCATGATCAAAACCACCAAACAACTAATTTTATGAAGAAGAAGTTTGGAGGTCCCAGAATCATGAATCTTGTCCAAATTGCAAATGAATATTTTCAAGCCCATTTGCCCAGGGCAGACATAGAACACAGCCAGGGTCCTGGAATAACAGCAAAAAGTACAAGGATCTCTAGCTCCACAATGTGCATGTAAGCATTTCAGCAAGCACAGAGGGACCCATAAAGACAGGCTTTGAAATATCAACATTTTAAGCAGGAAATGTTGGCATAAGCTATATTTTTATCATGACCCGGTCATAAGTATTGAGCCTTTCCAAGTAGCTACAATCCAGATGAGAACTTCTGTAAAGTAATACCTCCAGTTTTCTTTTATAAACCTACCAGGGAGTAACTCAAATGGTGAAGAGCAGCCAAGGGTTTTTCAAGGCTCTTTAAAATTATATTTGTAATGAGTGGGAGAAATCAGGAAGAACCCAGTCAAAAACTGAGCCCAGCAGATGAATGGATGGTATAAAGAGGGTATTTGCTCATGCCTGTCAGACAAACATACTCTTACACTCTCGCTGGTACCATGTCTCAGCCTCCAGATATCTGCAGCCCAGCACTGCTGATCCATATAGACCCCGAAATTTGATTTCAGTTTTTTATTCTAACTGCTCTTCTTGCCAAACTTTTCTCTTATCATCTCTTCATCCCTGAGCCTAGCCTTCTTTTCCTACTCTCCCCCAGCATGGAAACCTCTCCACGAGCAAAGGAGTGGCTAAGATGATATATGTGGTTGCTCTATGGTATATGGCATCATTACTGGGGGTTATACTATTTCCTCTTAGGAGCTGCTTTCTTCTTAGCAGCTACTTACTGTTATATAACAGAATAGAATATATAATAGAATTGTTATTTTCTGTCCTTATAAACATTTTGAATGTAGTATGACTCATGTTTCTCTTTTTCTTTCACAGATGAAATAAAAGCAATAACAGTAAGTTCTAATTTCCCAGACAGGAGTCAAGTTCTTTATACAGTGTTCAGGACATTATTACAGGCATTCAGAGAAGACTGGAATTGAAAAATATCTTCTGACCCTATCAGATTAACTCATATTAAATGTGTTCATATTAAAATTAGATGGTATAATAAATATGCAAAAAATAATTCCCCTTTTTGATAACATGATCAAATCTAATTTCAAACATTAATTTTGACACAGTCAAGTTATTAATTACAAAGGTAACCCTGCAGGACTAGTTTTACAGAAATTTCATCTTCATCAAAGATCCTGTAATGAAATCCATGAGCTGGACAAAATGTGTAATTTTAACTAATTTTCAAAGGGAAAGTATGTATTTGCATAACATATACTAAATAAATTTAAAAATATACTCTCCATTTCAGAGTTTAGGGAAAAATATGTGCCTTATCCAGATATACAAGTTGGAATAATTGTGCCAGAATGGTAAAGTGACATATTAAAATGAGGAATCCTACATTTGCAAGAAATTTATAATAAAAATTATACATCCTATCTTACAAATATTTTTTCTCCTGCTGTTTACAGAAATCTACATACCCCCAGCTACTTATTTTGTTGAAATTGTAAATACAGTTTAAAATAAGGAAAAAAGGTATTTATGAACATGCTACATTGCTAAAATTTCACAGCTCTTTCTTGCATCCACAGACAAAATAAGGACAGACACACTGAAGTATTTTATGATTGTCTTGAGTCTGCTTAAGTTTTATTAGGAATCTATTCCTTTCTGGGACTCCTCAACCCGTGGTTTTCCATGATCAAATCCTGGGACCTCATGCCAAGTCCTGCACACATCTGTACATTTTACCTCTTACTTTCTGTGAATTATTATATGTTGTCCTTGAATAGGGAGAATTTTTTCTTAAATTGTTCAAAGAACTATTTTATCCATTATTCAGAACTCTTCACACACATCATTATGTTTGGATATAATTTTCAAAGTTAGAATGGCAAATTCTAAATCCTTTCTTTGCCATTGGTATAAAAATGTGAACATAAAAACTAGAAATGTGAAAGAAAACTAGAAAAAAACTTAAAAATTAGGCAATTTTTTTAAAAGTTATTTTTTTTAAGGATTCTGAAGAGTTTGATCATATTTTCATCATACAGAACTCTGCTATTTGGTTGAACAATAGTGGTAGTAGCAGTATCAGGTTAATATTGATATACAAGCAGTAGAAACACAGGGGTTACAGCTCCATAGAATTTCTGACAGTTGAAGAATCATGATATCTTAAATTCTGAAGAAAAGTATGATGTAGGGCCTCCTAAATTTTATGGCCCCAACTGCCCCAGTCTACACACAGAATACTGTCTCTATCCTCACATGCTCCAAGTACCTCAGTTCCAGAGTAAGATATCAAAACTTCAGTACCTTTTTAGAAAAGACACCTACTGGCTAGTCAGCAAAAAAACTCCCAAAATTTGTGACAGTATTGACCAGATCAGCTACAATGTACTTTAGGCAGATGGGTCTTGACTTATTTCCTTTTCCCATTGTCTAGAGCTACCTGAGATTCTTAGGCCTCCAAGACATCCTGCAAGTCTAGTACGTATAACGTAGGAGCTTGTGCCTTTCTGGACTGGTAGATAAAGGACAGGTAAATCCCCTCAGGGCACCTCAAATGACACTAGACTTCTGTTTTTAGGTAAATGAATCAAAACTTTATCTCACATACAGATGTTTAAATGTCATCTTAATCTTGAACAGAATTGCATCCTCCACTTTTCTGATCTCAAGCTGTAGGCCTATTCATCATTCCATGTTCTTTAGTGCTAAGTGTCTGAACTTTCAGTTTCAATGCCAGTGTCGGAAATGGCACCTAAAATGAATTTACATTAAGTCCAAAAGCAGCACAACTAAATGTTCCTCATGTCCAGATCGCACATAAATTCTCTCACGATTTGACCCTCAGGAAGGTCAAACAGAATCATATGCCATATCACATCCTATATGGCATATATTTGGCATTATGCCATGTCACATGATGAATATGAGATTAGAAGATGTCCTGGATTCTTGAAGCACGTATACACAGGTCCTTCTTGTGGCACACTGACAGTCTGAGCTTCTCCCTGGACTGGTAGGGGTATAGCCACATGGCTCATCTCAGCATGAAAATACTGATCCAGATGAAATATTTAGCTACCAAATCACTTTATATAAAAGATGGGAACTCTATTCCTTCAAGTTCTTCAACTGTAGCCAAATTTCTGCAGCTTTTAATTATTCTTGCAAATAACACACACTCAACAGAAGAGTAAGCATCATGCCAATCTCAGATGGTTGGGTTTTTTTTTTAATGCACCAAATAGAACTTCTATTTTATACTCTTTTTAGAAATAGCTCAATCATCATTGATGGAACCTCAAGCAAAATCCTTTTCTTGAAGAAGACATGAAAAACTGCTGTTAATGTCTTACAAAGTTAAGAGTAATTAAATGCAGGTTTTAATCAAAGATGTTCTTAACTATGAATGCTACTACCATTTTATCCTGTAAGTAAAGCAGACTAAAAGCAGACACAAATGAAAATATATTAGAAGAAGCCATGTATGACACAGATAGAATTTTCAGTCTTCTTACTCTCCCCCATGTCCCTGACCTTATCATACAATCATAGAATAGCTTGGAAGTGTCCTTAAAAACCATCTAGTTCCAAACTCCTTGCCATAGGCAGGGACACCTTCCACTAAACCAGGTTGCTCAGAGGCCCATCTAACTTGGCCTTGAACACTTCCAGAGATGGGACATAAACATTTGCTTAGCTCCAGGATACTAAAAAAAACAAAAACAAAACCAAAAAACAAAACAAAACCTCAACTAAAATAGAGTTACCAAATATCTCTTTAGAGCACTCTCATTATAAAGTGATTTTCTAAAATATTAAATAATTAACTAATTCCTTGTAACTACTGAATTTTTATAAAATGTTCTGTGGTATAACAATATCATGAGCTATGGGCTGTTCATAGATACATATTTTACTAGAAAAAAAAGTACTGAAAACATATTTTTCATTAGGTCTGTGTTTGACTGCATGAATAGTTCTTAATGCTTCAGCACTGCACACATTCACTACACAAGTCAATATGCATTTGGATGAACTCCTGATACCAGAGTGTCTCTCAGCATACAGCTGCATTGACAATGTTGGATCTTTGTTTTGTGAAATATTCTTTGCAGTGAAATTAGAGAAGCATTCTCTTACCTTGGCAGATTGGCACAGGAGAATCCCACTGATACATGCCGTTCTGGTGACGCCTACACGTGGCATTATTGTGACCAATCATTCTGTACCCAGGTTTGCAGTAATAGCGAACTTTACTTCCAGCAGGACCACCTGTTTTATTTACAATTCCACCATTCTTCAAGGTAGGGTTTAAGCTGCAATAAGGAGCTAAACACCAAAAAAGGGACATTATTAAAATACATAAAATGCACTTAATGTGTGAAAGTCACATTATTTATGACATGGAAAACCTTTGAATACTGCTAAAACTAGTAATAAAACCTTTGGAATCTTCAGTGAAGATTCAATTTACTTATGCAAAAGCATGGTGAAGTTCAAAAACATAATTTATAATCACAAACCAGTTTACGTTATTGAATGAGCAAAATACAATCAAGAAACACAGATTGTTCAGCGAGTTCGCTCAAACTTCGAAAACAATCTACTTCACATTTGATAACTTTATAGGTGCAAAAATTTTATTTGAGCTTCACAATATAAAAAATACCAAACAGCTTTATTAAAAAAATCCAGTGTCCTTAGACATCTAAATCAAAATTTAAAGATTTTCTCAAATATGTTAAAAAATTGTGTGAGAAATAACAACATACCGATTCATCAGATGCATTTTTTCACATTAAAAGGTAGGGGTTTTTTGGTACATTTCTTCAAAGATATTATTTGGCAATTATATTAATTTTTTTACCAAAATAATGTAACTTAACTGAGTGTAAATTCTTAAATGTTGAATTTATACTATATCTTAGGTAAGATAGAATGCACTTGTTTAAATTTTGAAATGAAAGTAAACTTTGTTAAATTTTAATCACTACTCTACTAATGCTTTTTAAAGACATTTTCATTACCAGTATGGTCCTCAAGGACTTGTGATATATAAATGCAAATTATTAGACATGTACTAAGGAAATAAAAAGGTACAATTTTTAAGTGTCAAAAAGTGAGTAACAAAAAACTTTTTTTTTTAAACAAGGTTGCAATATCTGTACATAAGGATTGAGTATGGTTATCCAAACTGGACCCAGATCAAGCAAAAGTACAGTATAGTTTGACACGTGGAGTTCAACACAAATCTGTTTGTTGCATGCAAATATTTATTGCTGGATAAAAACAATATAAAATAATTACCTTGAGTCCATATTGGCATACAAGTCACTGCATATTTGCAGCAGACATGTACCACATCAAGCTTACAGAGATTAATATATTTTCAGGAGAAGCACAGCAGGACCATGGCTTGCTCAAAATAAGTCTCATGGAACTTCCACCACTGAAATAAACCTGTGAACATTCCTCATGGGAAAGACAGTGTTGAACTCCACTGATAACTAAACATCAATACACTGAGATTCAGGGCACTGAGACTGCAACTATTGTTACATTACTAACTTCCTTCATCATACTGGAATGTATCTTAGGTATACTGTGATGTTAATTTGATTTTCTGTAGAAAATTATTCAGTAGAAGTTGGGGTTTTATTTCACAAGTGCATAATTACAGATCTTGCTTTTAATATCTAGATCTCTGGCGGGGTTTTGGTTTTTTGTTTATTATTATTATAATTATTTTTAATGTATATTTTGTCACCCTAAAGTGCATCTATGGTATCAATTACTACCTAAAGAAGGATGTTTCTATTCACTGACAGAGATTATATTCCTAACTGAAATATTTCCTTTAAATGTCTGGATTTAGATGCGCTGTATCAAAGTCAATATTTTTAAGAAATGCCACCCAACACAAGCAGGAAAACTAAATCCTATATTAAAGATGCTGAAAATGCTGTCATCTGTTGAAATTTCATTATATACTTCTCAATTAAGCAGCATTATTTCTACTCTAAATATTATTTCTATACATTCTTTCTCTTGGGGATTATTTAAAATAAAAACACTAAATCATAAAGGGAAAAATTAAAACTAGAATTAAAATTAGTAAATAGGATGGTCCTGTAAAACAATTTTCTGGATTCATGTTCTATATCCCCTATAAGCACAGTGACATTCACTTGCATGCCTAACTAAATTACATTAATTATAAAATTACTCTTTAAATTTAATAGGGGATTTGACATTTAAAGAAACACAGTAAACACAGCTCTAGTTTTTCTTACAAACTGTTGAAGAAAAAACTTATACTGATATTGCAAAACAAGCAGGTTGCGACCACTAAAGTCAGCTCCAGTAAGCCCTTATGCACTATTTAATTGTAGATATGCTAGGAGTTCTTAAGAATAGCAAGTGAGTCATAAACACAACATTCCATTCAGACAAAAGTCCAACTTTATTTCCTCAGTGCTACAATTCTAGACAGAAAATATTTGCTTGTAACCCAGTAATACAGAATAACAATTCTAACCATACTCTTTTTCTGTATAGTATCTTTAATTTCTTCTTTCTTTTTCCCCCAAAATCATTCGATATAGACTTTTATTAAACTGCTAACATTTTAGTTATATTAACAGTAAATTCTTAGCTAGACATAAAAGCATAGGGATTTTTACCCTTATCAAGATCTTTTGCATAACAGATTGTAGTTGAGTTCTGATTGGCTTTTTTAGCTTTGGTAATTTCAACAATATATATGAACTTCCAGAGAGATCATCTTTAAATTGGCATGGACTACAGGATACTCAGGCTTCCAAATGACACAGAATGATGTCAAAATACTGAAATTTTCCTTGGGAGGCACAGGGGAAATCTATCAGTCAGAATTGTTGCTTATGTTGTAACAATTAACGACACCCTGAGACTGAAGACATAGTTTAACCTCTCCAGTGAACTAAGTGGTGTTCAGAAAAAGATCAAGCAAAACCACTTTTGAACTAAGAAGAAATTGATATAAGAAAACAAGAGAAACACAAAACAGTAATATCATTCAGAATTTACTTTAACATCATTTTGGCCATACTTAATTCCTAAAGGTTATTATTGCATATCACCTACATAAAATTATATCCTCCTTTCCCACATGTCTTGGTGACTCCTGAATGTCTGCTGCTTTCAACTGTCTCTTCAACCTACCATTACTAATGCTTACTTTTCCTGACAATTGAAGGTGAGTGAGTGGCAGCAGCTGCATGGGGATGGAAGAAATAGGGAAGAAGAGATCTGGGAACCAAGCCATCTTGATAATGCTTTGTGGTCATCTGACTTTGTGAAAGTTAAAGGTAGAGATTCAAGTCTGAATATAAAACTCGGAGATGTGTTTGACAGGGAAGGGAGGCTATAACTGGAGAAAAGAGAGAAAGAATATTTGACACAAAGGTGCTGGTTTTAAAAGCCCAGAAAAAGAACAGCCATGATAGATTATGCAATGAGATGAGAAATAGGGAGGGATTAGAGGCTAAGAGAAGGACTTGGTTAGCTATTAGAAGTGGAACCAAAAAGATGGATGTATCAGAGACTGAGATTGTGTTCAGAATAAAATGTGATGCAAGCAAATATATATATGATTCAGTGAAAGAAACTGGAAAGAAATATTTATAAAACTGGAACCGGCTATTGGGGACAGAGAAAGAGATCAGAGACAGAAGCAAGGAAGGCTGAGGGTAACAAATTAGGGGAGGCATCATAAAGAGAAAGCAAGGGAAATTACAATAGGAAGCTAGAAGGGAAAGACTGATGGAAGCTTAGATAAAGAACAACCCTATGCTGTCTGCTAGAGAACCACTAAAAGTATACTATGATTTGTAGGGAGTGGAAGGAAAAGGGTGGAGATCAAACATAAAGGTTGGGGAGCACAGCTAGACTGGCTTGGTAGAGGTATTAGGATGAGAATGAGTGTAAGGTTCGGAATAATCAAGTTAGGGTGAATGGGACTACAAGAAGCGAGGTGAATTCCTATAAGTACAATGAATAGTAAAACAGAGAGCAGTACAAAAAAGACCCAACATATCAGAAAGGGATTGTGCTCACAGAGGACCTTCACAATTTCATGGCTGTTAATAGTATGCCTGAAACACATAATAATATGCATTTTGTGATATAAATCATATATATTTTGATAACCTCTGTTTAAAACAGTTATTTAACATAGATTAGATCCACCTCCAACTCTTATAAAAATGTTTACTAATGACATTTTAAAGTAGTGGCAGTAGACTGGTAGTATGCCAGAAACTAGCAACAAGATTACAGGCAAGTAGTGCCTGTAGTCCACATCCACGTAAAAGCCCCCGTAAAACTTACATTTTTTTCTGCTGAAAAGGCAGCATAATATTTATAGAAAAGGCTGATACTCAAAAAAATCTATTATGTCTAAGCTATAGATAGTATTAAAAGAAGAAACATATTTGAAGCAAATAACCTAAAATTTTGAAGATGGACTGATTCTACAACTGAAAAATACACTTGTTGATGCAGTGAAGGAACATTGATAAGACTCTATACAATGCATTCTCAATCTATAGTTTAGTAATTTTTAATCTGTTCTTTAAACTGACTTCCTTTAGAGCCTGGGATGAAACACACAACCTCTTCTAGGTCAAGAACTGACATATTAACAGAAGAATCACACATAAGATAATAAATAAATGCCTGAAGACCTGAAGTACAAGCAAATGCTTCAAGAATGTCACTGTTAGCTGAGTGAAAATTCTGAGCTTAAGCAGAAATCCATACAGTGAGCTCACAAAATATTGCAGCCTTGTGTCAAGGACCACTGGGATAAAATGCTGGTTTTCCCCCAGGCAGTTGCTAAGAGGGGAATGTGCCCTGGAATGTCATGAGGCTTGGCTGAAACAGGTGTAATGACAGAAGAGTGCTCTCATCTAGGAATGGCAATGTTTTACCACAAAATGTGATAAACTTCTATGACCATTCCAGAGACTGAAGCAGCTTTACAGTTTACAGTTTTAGATTTAATTTACTTTTCCAAATGACGTAGCATCCCCATTCCTTTAAGGCCTCTTAGACAGTAGTGTATTTTGCAAGGCAACATATATTTTCAGCTCACTTATAATCAAAACATCCATTTGTAACTGGCAACTGAATACCAGTAGCGTAATAATTGCCTAGCTAAATCACATATAACTAGTCAATGCATGTGTGGACAGCAACACAGATAAACACTGATTTTGCATTTGCAGGACCACACTCTTCCTTTAACAAAGCACATCCTCTTAATAGTTGGAATATTTAAATATCTG